ATCAGAACGTTGTTGTAAAACCCCGATTTTTGGGGATAATTAAATAAATAAAAATATGAAGGGCATAATTGAAAAATTAAAGAAATTGGGGGTTTAATTGGAAAATTTAGGGATTGATTTGAATCGAATATTGTTTAGTAGGGTCTAAACAAAATTAGTTAAAACTGTCGGGAGACCAGATTGTAGGAGAATAAGAGTTCAGGGATGAAATTGCAAATTCAGTAAAAATCAACCTAGAAACTATTGAAACGGAAGAATTCATGTTCAAGGAGTTAAATTCAAGCAATTAAAGACAGAATTAAATTAAAAATGAATTATAAAGTAGGTCGAGCGAAGCTAAAGAGTGAAAACCCCAACTCAATTTCTAGAAAAATTGTCCTGATATTGTTTTAATTTTTCTTTTTCTAGTCCGAAGGTCCGATCGTCGTTAAAGAGTTCTTCAAGGTTCATTCTATCAAATTAAATCGATTTGTAGCCGATTAATCCCTGGGTGGCCTTCGATTTATCAGCCCGAGCAACTTGGAGTAATCAATTGGCAAGAAACATCAAGAAAAATTGAGGTAATTATCAAATCTTTGCATTCAGTTTAGATTTGCAGATTTACGGGCTTCTGCAGGAATCGGGTCAAGAAGGAATGACCCGATTCCATCTTGGGTTTGGGTTGGTGGTGTCGGGCTCCAGGAATTTGGGTTATTTGGAGTTAGGCCATGGGGCAGCCCAAGTGATTGGGCTAGGAAAAAAAAAAAAAATATATATATATATATAGCAGAAAATAGAAAATGACCGGTTTAGTGGTTTTTTACATCGAGTCTTGCTAGATTCAAGGCATGGTTAGAAAGATAATACAATGAACTATTTGGTTCATGGCCGATTCAAGTGTAAACTGGCTAGTTCAAGGGTGAATCGGCCAGTTCAATATTAAAAATTTAAGAAAATATTATGTAAACCATCGGTTCAACATATTTATGCCGGTTCAGGGTAAATTCTAATTGGTTAAGTGGTTTTAAGTCCGGTTCAGTGACTTTTATGTCTAGTTCTATGTATTTCATGACTGGTTTAATGGGTTTATTAGTCGGTTCAATGGATTTAAGACCGTTTCAATGGATTTTATGGCTGGTTCAGTGGGTTTCTTGACGGTTTAGTGGTTTTATCACCAGTTCGATGGGTTTCATAGTCGGTTCAGTTTGTTTGAGGTCCAGTTCAATGTTGTTTTGACCGATTCATAGTCGGGTCAACCTTCTAGTTACTGGTTTAAGACCAATTTAGTACTTTAATGATTGGTTTAAAGGATAATTAGACAAGTTTATTGTTTTATGAGACCGGTTGAAGGATTTAATACTTAGAATGTGAATTATGTGATCAGTTTGAGACTTTTAGAATTCCTGATACAAGTTTGAACACGAAAATCTAAGAGAATAGTAAGGTTTTGATGAAAATTAAATTTAAGTTAATTATGAGATAATTATATTCTAAAATAAGAATTTTGATTATTTCTAAATTGAGTGATTGATTCTTGTGAAGCTGAAGCGCCAAAACTCGAGTTTCGTGGTTCTCCAATGTCTGTGAGTAGTAATACGTATTTATATACTTCGTTATTTTTTGTATTTGTTAAATGATGAGTTTTACATAAATTGTTATAAATTCAATTGTTTCGAAATAGAAATTTAATATATTATAAAAGTTTACAAGGGACGTATATGAAATTTTCTAATTTGTTTGGAAGTGTCCTGAACTACTGATTCTGATTTTGATATGATGAACATTGAAAATGTGTGAAACTAATTTTCTATTTCTATTATATTTGGACACTTTGAAAAATTGTAAACTATTTCTAATAAATTGTGAAAAATGTTTTAAGAGAGTATCGAATGGTGAGAACACTGTAACTAACGACAATAGACGTTAGACTGGGTGCACTTTGGCTTATATTCCCAGCTAGCAGGGGTAATGCTAGACTATCATATGTGGTTAACGTGGTAGGCCTGTATATTGATTATCGGCAAACTAAGAGGTCGTCGTTCTGTTATATGTATACCGACAGACCGTGAGGTTGTCGTCCTGATTTCTATTCCCTTATCTGTTACGAACTTTCTAACTTGTATAAGTTTGAAAAGTTTGTTTTATGATATAAACTATATGATATATGTCCCTTGTCATGTAAATATGTGTTACTATTTACTAGGTCGTCATTTTTCTAGACTCAGGTTCAGTACTTCCAATTGATCCTGCCGCGTGAGAAGAGTTGTTGATCTCGATTCTGTGATTCCAGTGGATTTGGTTTCCGAGTGTAGTAGTCAGTTATTGTTCTTTCCTGTTGTATTAATTTGTTTTAGTTAACACAAACAGAATTTGTGTTTAAGGATTTTTCAGATGTTGATGGTTGTATTAAATTTTCGGAAGTTTGTGTCAGATTGTGAATATTATATTAAGTTAAGTTTATTTTGTTCTGTTATAGTTCTGAGTATTCGAGACTTGCGGGGTTGGGACCATCCTAACCCTAGCGTCGGTCACAGATCCGACTTTCTGAGTCGTGACAGTTGTTATATTTATTAATGAGTAAATTTACTTTAATTCAAAACATTTTATACTTCATTATCACATTTATTTGTGTAATATTTTATATAATCTATTTTTAAGATTTAAACTATGTTACCATATAAGTCCTAAATAATTGGGAATGTCAATAGAACCTAGATCTGGATGATTAAATAGGTATTTGTGCGAGTTTTGATGTGAATCTTGGTTGGATACTATTGTATGTATCCCGTTTGAGACTTAGATATTACTATATATATATATATATATATAATTTTTAATTTATAGTTCAATCAATATAAATGTTTAATACTTGACTTAGATTTTTTTTTTTTTTTTTACTTATTTTGAATGTTTACAAATTACAAATTATAAATTTACAAGCTTGCATGGACTTAGGTAAAAGTTTGACCCTCTTTTTCTAATATGAGTTTGGGACTACGTATTACAACACTTAGTTCAATATGAGTTTGAGACTAAGTACTATAACACTTAGCTCAGCTTGCATGGTCGCCATTAGTATAAGTTTTAGAAAATTTATGAAAGTGTTCTTTTTGAGTTTTAAAAGTAAAAATCTCTATTTTTTGAGTAATATTTTTAAAATCTTATTTTTTTTACTTGTGTTTTAGAATATGCTTTAGAAGCAAAATAAGAGCATTTACTCCAAAAACTGAGCATGGCCTTTTACTTGTACTTAATCTCAAAGAATATGTTTTAAAAACAAGTTTCGAACCAAAAGTCTAAAATAAGATTTAAATAGGCTAAAAAATAGTCATGCTTGTATTCTACCTCTTTTAAAAGAATATAATCTCATAATTTTACCTTTTAAAATACTATTCTTAAGCATGTTAAAAGAATAATTTTTATTTTATGAAATTATTTTTAAAACATTGTGATTTAAAGACACATTTCGAACTTTAGAGATATCTAGATTTGATATTGAAAAAAAACACTCATGTAAAATTCAAAACCCACTTGGATGGGCCTCTTTTTACATAGAAAAATATTTTTTATTAAAAAATACTTTTAGTTTAAAATAAGCTATTTGTAAGCTTATTAAAAAAAGTAAAAAATTACTTTTTATTTTTTTTTCAAAACTGTTAAAAAATAAAAATATTTTTAAACAAAAATATCTAACACATAATTATAAAACCTCAATTTGTCTGCACCATTTTCCAAACAGCCTTTTCTTCCTTAGTCCAGCCATAAAACGGTGACTGTCCGACAAAGGCCTGATACACCGTCGGACAAAGTCTTGATGCAGTCGAAGCTCTCGGCAACACTAAAGCTTGAATCGGTTCAAGATAAATGAGATTGCCGAGCCCTGATGCAAATTGGCGATATTATCGAGCATTAATGCATATCGGCGAGATTAGGTTACAACATGAAGGCCTCTGACATGGCCGACATCACCTAGAAGATCGAACGGCTCAATAAACCATGGAGAACAGGTCGATGAGCATGGTGGCCATCATGAACTCCGTTTGAGACGAGATTGGATGCACCACCAGTGGTGAAGAGCTGGCCATCGACAGCACAGGAGAGGAGAGGATAAGCAGGGGAGAGAGGACGGCAGAATAGATCAAGCCAGTAGTTCGTCTGTCAGCCATGGAGAGAAAATGGGCCGAAAAAGATTTTTACTCTCCACCCCTTCTGTTTAAACTTCTAATATTCTTAAAAGAGTAAATCTTGGGTGGGTAGAACGGGAACTCAGGTGGTACCTGAGCGCAAGGACTGTTTGGCATGCCATGGGCATTGAATTGGATAGGCAAAAGAAAAATGCCCATTATGGGGAAATATTCACATTTCACAACATTCCTTTTTCTCGTTGGTTGCTTCGCTCAGTGACCGTGGATGGATGTTTTGGAGCAGGGAAATTACGATAATAGGCTTTTATACCGTCTAAAAAATGACCTTTGATCGAATATTCTAGAATTGATGCAAAGTGGAAAACCAGGAATGCTTTCTTGGAATTGAATTGAATAATGAGAAACCGGTTACACCTATTTACAGAAAAAGCAAATAATCCGATATAATAAAGAAGATAAAATCTATTCCTAATCTAAATCATTAAAAGATAATTACATTGAAACAAGATTTATCTCAACTAGAATGACCAAGCTACCCTTAACCACTCGTACACCTCTCTCTTATATATCTATATATACGTATTCTATGTACGTGTTCAAAGGAATGCATTAATTCTCTTATATATGTTCAAAGAATGTGACTATGAAATTGGGGAAAGGGGTATATTTGAAATATCACTGTACGTGGAGATTTCTAGAGCAACCAAAAATAAGTGCATTTTTGTCTTTCTACATCCCCGGTCGAATCCTTGGCCAATACTCTTTCCTCTATAAATTTAAGGATATAACGTATGGTCAACAACATTCCATTTCAACTCCCAAGACCAGAGAGAGAGAGAGAAAGAGAGAGAGGGCTGGGAACTCATATATATACAGATGAGGCCACCAAGCACAGCCGCCGCCACTGCTGCTACCCCGCCTGCCGCTGCCGCAGGGGTACAACGATGGAACTCTCCCATCGCTTACCTCCTTGGAAGCCTGGGTCTAATGCTGGGCGTTGTAGCCCTTGCCTTGGTAATTCTAGTTTGCACTTTCAAAAGATCTCGTAATTCATCGATTGACACCGACAAAATGCCGGCAAGGCCGGTGCCTGTGATGCCGCTGGAGATGGAGCCGCGGATCGTCGTAATCATGGCCGGAGATGAGAATCCGACTTACCTTGCCAAGCCCGTGTCTCCTAACCGGCATGCTGAACCGGCCTGAGAATTACGTGGCCACTGCTTTCAAACATATCAACCCTCTTCTTCTTCTTCTCTTGTCGCTGCAATTCTTTGTTAGAGTAACGGGAAATGTGTAAATTGATGAGTATGAAAGAGCCCTTTTGTGGCATCCTTGTCCTGGGAAAAACAAAGTTAGTTTTGTGATTTTGCATTAAATTTATGGCAGAATTTTTAAGAAATGTTTTTAAGAAGTATTGCCGGTTTTTGTTGAAGATGAGATTGAATTTAGAATTAAAAATTAAGATAATTTTAAATAGGGAATTATTTTAATATTATATATATATATATATAAATATACATATCACGTCACATATATATTTAATGTGAGAGGAAGAGGGTTGAGTGTTATATTATTATAATTATTTTATCTCGTGAACAGATAAATTTTTATATATATATTTTTTATCGATTTCTCTTGTCTTTTATTATAATTTTCTGGTTTTTAACAATGAGGAATAAATACAAATTAATAACATATTATAGCTATTTTTAGGTAATTATTACGTCATAAATTATCTACCCCCCTCAACTATAGTAAAAGATGACGACTAGCCTGCTGTATTTGACTAATCAAGACGGCAAAATGAATTTGAAATTTACCTCTCTCTACAGCGGTGGCGTCATGGAAACGTTTTTGCGGTTAGAGAGACCTAAAAGACCTAGATTAAAGAGGAAAAGGTGGGTAGGCCTTTTAATTTAAATATAAGAAATTGATCTACATAAGCAATCTTTTATTAGTGAGAGACATAAGAAAAAAATAATTATAGAAAATGCCATGACATTAATGTGTACCAAATTCTGAATAATGTGCTTTTTGTGTTTATCCTAGTTAAGGTTGGTAGTTGGCTTAGTTTTTTTTGTTTCTTGAGGTATTAAGAATATGGGTCAAATTAACCTTGTACAGATGGACCGGTCCGATTTTCAAAATGTACCTACCCCATATGCTACATGTGTAGGATGTGTAGGATAAAGATAGAAATATTTAAATAGACTATTTTAATATTTAAATTAAATATTAGATTTAGTTCAAATTCGTTTTTTATAAATAAATCTAGACCATCCATGTCCAAATGAACGCGCCCCAAATCCAATGTAATAACATTGGATGGTTCGCTTATTTTTTCTTGCAAATTTTTTTTCTTAATTGTAGTAAAAATTAGAGGAATTTTTACTGCGGTCTTATGCTTTTTATAATTTGTGCCTTTCTTCTTTACATTAAATATATTACAGAAACATAAATAAAAAATACAAAAATAGTAAGGACATGTTTGACAGCCCGCTTAGGGTAGGCTGGGCCAAGTCCAGGGTAGGCTGGACTGCCAAACATGACAAAGCAAGAAGAGTTTGCTTGTTCGTTCATAGAAGGTAGATAAGTGGAAAAGAAAATTTGATAAAAGAAAATACACATAAATTATGCCCATTGAAACAATTTTTGTCATAAATTGGAGAAATTTCTTATCAAAAAACTCATTTTATAAGGTTAATTAAAAAAAAAACCATAAGAAAAACTATATTTAGTCATATGTAGTTTGTAAATTTAAGACAATATTTGGTCTTATTTAAAATAAACCACTCTAATTTAAATGTTTGATTTAAAAAAATTAAAATAAATACCAAAAAAGTGGAAAATAGGTAAAATTAAATAAATGCACTTTTTAATTTTTTTTTTTTCAAACTTATCACTTTTTAAAATAATACATTAACGTTATTACTTAATTTTTTTTTTATAAAAGTTAATGTATTTTAAATAAAAAATTAATTATTTATTAAATAAAATCTCAAATTCTATAAATCAGTCCATACATTCTTTGAAAAGAAATGAAGTGAGAGGCCACTAACTTATAATTCCACCCAACATCACCATCTACGATAACATTCCTTTTCAATTCAAAAATACGTGTCAATTTTGGATCATTGAAGGAACAGTTGAAATATCGTTGTTATGAATTGAAATCATAGCTATCCAATTGATAAAGACCACCCAATTACTCTCTTAATTTCATTAATTAGCGAAGGTAAAAGTAGCCAGCTGAAAAGGGCTTACTCTAAATTTTCCCAAAGATTAAAGATACTACAAGTAGCTCATAAGTAGCTTTTTATGTACGTAATTTTTTTTTTCCTTATTTTTTGTGGATAGACAGAGGTTTTTACTTAAAATAAATTTACTGGTAATGGTAAAGGTTTAAAAGCTAATAAAAGCTCTATTTTTTCCCTAAAAACTTGAAATTTAGTTGTCTTGTGATTTAAAAAATGCTAAAGTAGTTAATAGAAACAATTATAGATATAAAAATATAGAATCAATTAAGATATTATTCAATTATCTTATGTTATTATGCAAAGAAAGGACAAGGGATCGTTAAATTTGGACTGGACCCGCCAGGGTCTCATGAATACCACACGCTATGGCTGCCTTATCTTCCACCTGATTTGTGTTTCTTCTCCACTGATGCTTTAATAAACTGCAGTGCGCTTCATTTTCAAACGAAAATGTGGACATTCTTACGGAAAAGAAAATAGTGACCATGGATGTGATGTACAATGATGCTGCGACTCTTATGCGTGAGAAGCCTAATGATGATCAAAAAGAATATTTAACAACCGAAAAAATGGTAGAAGAGTGAACATTGACCGGCTAAATATAAGATTATTAATAGATTAGATCTGATTTAATTCTGTGAATTCAATTTCAATTATTTATTTATATATCCGAATATGTTTCAGGATTATATTGAAATTGTATGTCAATGATTTTTCTAGGTTTACCGGTTTCCTCGTACCTGTAAACAATGTTTTGGAGAAAAAAAAATTTAAAAATAAAAAATATTAATATTCACAGTTAATAGGGCGATTAATTCCCCCAAATTGCTTTATCAGAGAATAGAATTAGAAGATTCTCTCTTTTCATGGACAATTTTAAGAACAGATGATTTTGAGAGACAATTTTCATCACGATATTATAGCCAGATTTTCTTATCCTTACTTCTGTCAGGACGCCAGGTCTTCAAAGTGTTTGGTCTAAGCATATCCCACGAAAAAAGGCAATGCAACAGAAGTGTGTAGTTTGGAGCAATTCAATGAAATTCAAAAGATTTCAGAATATTAAGTTCATTACAATTCTAAGTACAGTCCAAAATTCAGGTTGAAACTGAGAAATGCACACTACAGAGTAGTTAAATGACTGCAGCCGAAGGACAGTAATGCAAAAATTGGAACAGAAGGGTTCATCGAGATTCAGAATGGCTCCCATGAGGTACGAAAATGCTACACAAGCCTTGAGCTGATTGTCTTCTTTCAAGAGATAAGAATGTCGGGAAGCTTCAAATTCAGAATTCAGTTGGAGGCTTCAGCCTTATAAGCCTCTTGATTCTATCCTTGTCAGTGTTCTCTAGCAACCCCTTTTGAACAAACAAAGAAAACATAGCATGAGCAGGAGATTATACAACAGTAGAATAACAAACAAGAGGTGGGAAAATATTATGGGGGTAATATATGGGCGTACACTATTCCTTTTCAACATTGAAGAGACGTGAGGCAATACAAAGCTAGTCTATGAACTCTCAAGGAAAAGGGAAATTAGTAATAGGATGAAGTCAGGAAGACCTTTCAAGCTTCAGTTACATGACAATTATGACCTTTGCACAGTATCATACTGGGAAAGACAGCGCCATGATCCACCCATAATGGAGGTTAATCAAAGTGACATTAAACCATCTTCTTTTCGAAATAATTTAAAAAGTTTTGATTGTAAGCTTTTTTTCAAGTCAACAGCTAAACAATCATAGTCAAGTCACTGTTATTCTAAATGCCCATTATTTCTTGCATGACCACATATTATTTTGTGATGCTGGTTTCACAATAATATTGTAGTGATCAATAAGAAATTGAAAACCATGTATATGAAACTGACAAGGTGATAATGATAATTGAAGCTATGCTTGGCCCAAGAATGTCCAATCTTAAGGGGAAAAAAAATGGAAAACAGATCTCACTAACTTGGTAGCCTCCCTCACCTGCCACACAATCTCGTCTAGACAAAGGCAGATTTTCCCGTACTTGTCCAGGAAAAGGCGCTCAGTTGGCAGTTTCCCACATACATCCTTCACAGCGGAGGTAATAACAAAAATTGCTTCTGACACTAGGCATAAACCAATAAAATTAGAAAGATCAAATTACAAATTTGTGGCATGCATAAAAAAGGATAGCCACTGCTCAGTTTACTGCAACTATCCAGCCAATATCACCAGGTTAACCATAGATGAAGGAGGTACAATTATCACATCACCAAAAACTAGAGTTAACCATAACTATTTGGTTGGCAAAATAAATTCCCCCTTACATATTAAACTGGGAACCATAGCTAATGCTACTTGTCGACCATGCTCAAATTACAGAACAAATAATAAGAAAAAATAAATATGAAAAATTATACTCACAAGCGAGTTCATCGTACTCATCTTTGCCAACAACAAAAATGCTTACATCTCCAAGCACTGTGTAAACAATATAAACTGATCTGAAATAGAAAGGAACACACAACCATGTGAACTTAAGATCAAATAAAACAATCTTAAACGAAGATTCATAATTACTATTTTTTTCTTCAGTAAAATCTTATAGTTCAAATAAAAGAATAAGAAGTTATTTGCTAGAGTGGAGTATTTTCCTCATGTAACCCTAGCGTGCCCGAACTTACCCTGAAAGTTTATTAAAAGAACCATTCTTTACAGATGATTCTATAACCATTTATCAGAAAACCTGTCCATAATTGGCCATGGGAAATAATTGGTTGGGGTTAACTTGGAAAGACTTGTTTTTGTAGACATTTGCACAATAACATGTGATTTTTTAATTCATTCAATCTAATACAGCCACCAAAAAAAAAAAAAAAATAAATAAATAAAAAATTATCCAGCAGAAGCTTTATTAGTAACATGATAAATCAATTTTCTGCAATTGAAGTGACCTTTTCCACAGCTTGATAACATGTGTCAATGAAGATAATCTTAGGAAGACCTCAAGATTGTCTTGTAATCCTTTTGACCTCTTTAGATATCTCAAACTAATAGGCATCATATTTGGAGAATGGGTATTACATACTTGTGGCTAGCAACTAAGAGTTCTTCATTCTTGGCACGATTAAGGTTCTCTGCTCCCAGCTTAACCAAGAATGAACGCCAATGCAAACGTTCCTCAGCAGGAACTCCATTGAACCTACAAGATAAAGATACCAATATTTCAAATTTGTAGTCTGTTGAAGACACCATATGCAGCAGGAATATTCCATTTATTAGTTTATAGAGACATATTACGAGGCATTCAAGGAATCTCAGTTACGTTAACTCATTTCCTGGGGTGCAATACTGACCCAACACGTGATCATCTGATTTAGGGTTTATATTACAACACTAAATGACTCTACAAGAAAAGAAGGTAGAAAAATTGCTTAAAGGAAGAAAGAAGACAAGGCGTTGTTGGAAATAAAAGGTGATCCTTCTTAGAAGTAATCTGATATAAATTGCCACCTCAAAATAGTCACTTCTCTTTCTTGACCCAACAAAAAAAGATGACTTACGTACTAAAAATCTGCATGCATAGAATTAAACTAGACTAAAAACTCAGTATTCACTCTTCTTTTCATAACAAAAACCTGCTAAAAAGAAGATCACCAAAAAGAACTGCTGCCCCTGTCCACAAAAAGGATTAAAGAAAAAAAAAACAATGAGACAACCAACAAAAATTTCCTATATAACTCTGATATCTCTCCACAAAATTACCAATATATATATATACTACCCTCCATAAATTCTAAACGACCAAAGAAGTCTTGAAACCCAATGGCCAATTGGAGAAGTCCCAAAGTTTTTCCAGATAATAGACCAGAAAACCTAAATGAACTTTCCAAGCATAATCACAAACAAAAGGCTTCAGCAAGTTCAATTAAGAGAACAAAGAATTTAAACTTGATAAGAAAAATAACTCAAAATTCCAAAATAAAAAATGCACAAAATAAGGCCACATGCATCACATACAGCCATATTTTAGCAACACAAACACATACAGTTTCCATTCCACAATCAAATTTATCCAAATAATGCAGTGCCAATATGCTAATTTTTAATAACTTAATCGTACCATAAGTAAAATGTAATACTGAACTGCTTCTGGCGGTCGCCAAAATTTAATGCCAAATCGTGGAGTTTATATTGATTAAAATTATTTTTATTAATTTAATTTCTTTTGGGAGAAGAGTGACTAGTATCCCCACCAAATACATTTTGACTGATTCATTTGCTTCATTTTCTTTAGAACTGTTTGTCATTTCACCAATGTGAAATTCAAAAATTCTCTGCAGGAGAATTAAAGAAGCATACACTTCCAAAACCAACCTTCCCTTCAGTGTATTGTTTCGCCAGGTTAAATCTCAAATAGCCATGAAGTGCCATCGCTGAAGAAACAGTTTACTGCAGAGTCCCAAAAAATCTTAAGCTTTTCTTCACCAATGTTTCATCTTCAAATTATATGAGAATTTGTTCGGATAACTAGAAGAACAATTAGAAAACTGGAAATCTTTAGTTACGAATAGGATTCCACATCTAGCACGCAAAAGAATTGAATATAAATTGGGCAGTCCTTAGACACATAGAGATAAAATCATTCATAAACAAGCAAGATCTGTGGCAATTATAACTCCAATAAAAGTTATCTTTTTTAAAAAACAATAAATCACAAGCACCAACAAACTATGACTGCCAAGCTTGCCCTACTTTACCAAATAAATAGAAAGTAGAATTCATGTACGTTGAGAACAGCAAAAATCAGGTCAGAGGAATTAATAACAAAAGGAGATATGCAAGTGACCAAAAAAATTGACAGAGAAATGAGGTGAAATTAGATCGAAAAGGTGAAGGGGAGGGAAAAAGCAAAGGGAGAGCAGAGGAGACTATAATTTGATACCGTTCGACCAGGATGTTGCCCTCTGAGTTTGCGATCAACACGGCAAGTAGCATATCTTCGCTTCCCCCTCCGATGAACGCTGAACTGCCGGCCGATCGGGCGGAGAATTTGCTTGATTGGTTCTGAGAGCAGTGGTGCTCTGTCCAAACTCCGAAGTCTACGATTGAGTTCCAATCGAGCCGAGCTGCTCCGACTTGAGGTTGCTAGATTCGCGGTTTTTTTTTTTTCTTGTCCTTTTTTTAGCACCGAAAATCGGATTTCTTGTAGTAAATTATATATTATTTTTAAAAGGTATTTAATTGTATTTAAAATTTATTTATTTACTGTTTAAAATAGTTTATCATTATTTTTAATAAAAAAAAGTACTAAACAAAGAAATTAAGATAAATAAAAATTTTTGGTCGGAGAGTTGCTTTAGGTTTCAACTTTTGAAATTTTTTATAATTTTTTTAAATTGATTTTTCATAAAACTCATTTGAAATTGTCTTACTAAATTTTAAAAAGATTTTTTTTTTTTTTCCTTTTCAGCCTAACACGTTGTTAGTGATATTTTGTATTATGTTTTTTTTCTTGAAAAATTCTACGGTGCCCTCCCAAAGGAGGGCACCGGTGCCCACCCCTCTCACATGGGGTGAACCCCACTGTCGGGGCCCCCTGCATTGGAAGGGGGTCCCACTGCCGAGTGCTCCTTCTCCCCTCTCACAGAAGGAGGTTGTACGTGCCCTCCTTTTGGGGAGGGCACCGGAGTGTTCACCTTTTTTTCTTTTGATTAAGTGATGAATATTTTAAATTTTTTTATAAAAAATAAAAATATATTATATTGTAAAATTTAAAACCCATGAATCAAATTATATAGGGATTTTTTTACAATATCATATAGAAATAAAAAACTCAGAAAAGCCTGCTAAACAAATAAATAATCCTAGGGTTTCCGCTAGTTGTTTTTATTTTTACTTGTGACTACTTAAAAGCAATGCACCACTAAATTAAGTATTTACAACAATTTTAAAAATAAGAATTATATATAAATAAAGTACTGTTTACTCACCAAATAAGTATTCCAATATTATAATATTTTTAAAAATTTTAAAAAAATAAATTAAATTAAATTTTTTTAGGGGACTTAAAACAAGAGTTCGGAATTTCCACGACCATTTCTCTTCCACAAAACCAAACTAGCCACTTTTTTCGCCCGATAGTTGTGTAGCTATTAGTATTAATTATTAACTGCTGGGAGCGGTAAATCAGTCGATATGGCTCATGCAAGATAAGAAGTTTATATTGTCAAAATATTAAAAGATGAGTTTGATTTTATCAACTTCTTTATTTTAATTTTTAAGGCCTTTTTATTTTATTATTTTGATGTTGTAATCTGTAAAATAACCACCCATCAACCTGATCACACTATCTGTTAGACTGATCTGTTGTTTCAAGCAAAGTCATTTTTGTCTCCTTCGAGTATTTCATTGAATCTCTCCCAAGTTCCATTGCACGATACCTGAGTGAGTAACCTGAATAAACCAATGCCACAGGAAAGTATGAATCAACATAACCCAGAAGGCTCATGATACTACAAGCAACTAGTTACGGGTTTCAAGGGTCACAAGTGTACCAAGCAGACAGGAGGGTGACACCTCAAAGTAACAGCAGGTATTCAATTTCATTTTCGAATTCACCATTTTTTTTTTTTTTTTTTGGGGGGGGGGGGGGGGGTGGGTGGGGGGTTTGCATAAACATCTCTTAACAGGAACACGAAAACAACAACATAAGATAAGCCCGCCCCAACTTTTTGAATTCAAAATCCCCTTGTCACCAATCGCCATGATAGACTGCTCACCACCTTGTGACATCCTCTTGAATTCTAAAATTCTTTTCCCCTTATTCTGAAGCTAATAAACAGAAGAACTACTGTTCCTTTGCCCTCTTCCGTGCCAAGAAACGTTCTTTAGCTGCAGCAAGTGCATCTTCCCCTCTTTTATGATGATCACGCCTGGCCTCATCTGACGAAGGTTTTTCAGCTACAGCTTGCTTTGCAGCCTCAGCATCTGGCAATGGCCGTGAATCACCGGACTCAGTTCCCTCCTTTCTACGGCTTGAAGTTGAAGTTTCACCTCTTTGCTCCTCTTTTGCCTCAGTAGATCCTAAGTGGGAGTTGGCTGAAGGTAACCTCTCTTCTGACATACCAACTGTGACTTCTTCTTGCCGCTTCTCGGGCTTGCTTGCTTTTGCGTCTCCAGCACCAAAAGCAACGTTTTTTGATAGGTTGAAGTAGAAGTCAGTCAAGTCACTCTTCTTGGTGACCTTGCAACACAAAACATTATAATATTAGATATATCATTGAATTTAAAGAAAATACTGGATGGTTCCATGACATGAGCTTCTCCAAAAATGACCAAACATCAATAATTTGATATGCCAAGGGGGTCAGAGATGGCAGAAAAGGACAAATAAGTTTTAGCTTGCAAGATAAAGTGTAATTTCTGTCTATTGTGAGAAGTGTGGGTGATTAAAATATATCAGCCAATTTATGAACAAATGGCAGGTCTCAATAAACCAAGAAGAAACAGAAGATTCCAAGATGCGATCACTGAACATTTGTGTGTAGTTGTTCATTTAGGACAAATGAATGGTGAGGTTGCCATGGAATGTAAATAGTTTTCCTCCAAAATTGAAGTGTGACTTGTACTAGGTGGTTCAACAAAATAAAAAAAGAGGGGGGTTGGGGGGAGCCATAAGCATGCATATACGAAATTAAAATTTCAGTTCAGTTTGGTTCAGGCATCCAGAATTTTTTTGGTTCTGTTCCAGTTTGAACAGAAAAACCAAATGCTCTGCCTCTGATAGTTATTATTTCCACTAGCAGATGCACTTCTAAAGTACCTCTCTGATAGTTATTGTTTCCACTATCAGATGCACTTCCAAGGTCAAAGACAAGACTAGAAGGGGGAAAAAAATCTATGTACAAGGAAAAAGCAGGTGAACTTGTACATATTGTCAGAAGCTCTCTTCACTGCCCACTGCATCATCAGATTCAAGGCATTTTGGCAAAACTAACCATAGGATAACTGACATAACATAATTTTATGAAGGCTAAGCATTACAAAGGAAGCAGGACATAGCATTACTAGGTAATGAATAAGACAACAAAAAGTAAAACAAGATCAGAGGGAAGACTTAATCTTACATCTTCTTTCTCCTCTCGAAGCTGATGGAGACGTTCTTCCTCTAACCACTTAGCCTGCTCTGCAAGTTTCTTCTTGTAAGCACTAGTAACAAACTTGTCCTTGTCAGCAAATAGATGGTCCTCTTTGCTCCTCTCTTTAACCATTTTCTCTCATATATTATCTCATGCTCTCGTTCTCGTTGTTTTGTCTTTTCAATCAGTGCTTGAATATATTTTGGCTGCAACAGAAGACCAAGAAAGTGTCAATAAAACAAAAAGAGCTCTTATAACTTGCTTCTGAGACTTTGTCTTTCTGAGATGTTAAATCTTCAACTATAAAAAGAGAGTAAAGAACTGGTAGGAATCGTAAAAATCAAGGACAGACAACAAATTAGACATAGCTTGCCCGAGACTTTGTCTTTCTGAGATGTTAAATCGTCAGCTATAAAAGAGAATAAAGGACTGGTACAAATTGCCAACAGCAGGGACAGACAACAAATTAGACAAAGGAATTCAATACACCCTGTGTACAAAAATCAACTCTCAAAATAATAGTCCTTTTATACTCATATTTTCCAAATGACTATCAAAAAAATCACTAAAAAAGATGCAAACTAGTAAATTGCAGGGCATTAAAAGAAAAGACAAAACAATGGAAGGAAATTCTGTAGCACAGCAAAAGCCCATAAGAAAAAAATCAGCTCTCTGCTAAACTATTACCTATGTTAATTCCAAAGTTCAAAGTATAAGCTAGTTGTCCAAGGTTGTTAAAGTGATTCAACACATTTCTGAGCAATGATTATAAGAAGCAAAACATTTGAGAGATACCTTCCTCTCTTGACGATCATGTGCTAGAGGACGAGCCACTTTTTCTTTCATTTCATCATATACCCCATCATACTCAAAAACTGATGGGTCCTCTTCCAAGGCCTTCTTATGCTGCTCCTCAATCTAAAAAATCAAGGAAATCAAAAAATAAATAGATGAAAAATAACAAGACATCAGTCAAAAACAGATATTCAACCACAAAGATGACTCACATCTTTTAGAGCCTTGTTCTTGCTAGCTTGGCGAGATATCTCTCTCTCAACATCATCTTCATCATCGTCCCGAAAGCCTAGAGCAGTTGGGAGAGGAGGTCTACTTGGCTGCTGCTTTTTTTGGGATGGCTGAACCCTTAGTTGTAGACCATACTTCTTCATTTTAACTCCTTCCTATTATTCTGAAACAACAGATATAGGATGTGAGACACAATTAATGAATCACTATGATGAAAAAACTGTTTACTTTGATAGTATCTAGTAACACTTTTTTTCTCCTGTTTATGTCTACCACATAGTTGTTTATGGCGCATAGCGCACCATAGCACAAAGGGCCATAGCAGCATAGCGCATAGCGAATAGCATGGCTATTCAGTAAAATAGCGCAAAGCATATAATTATAATATATAATAATATATATGAAAACATCATCCATAAACATTACAAACCTAACAAGTACTCAAATAAAAACCATTCAACAATCATTTCAATATGTGAAATATGAAATTGCATATCAAACATAGTCTCAAACATAAAATGCTACATTAAAATGAAGTCCAAAACATAGAAATCTGATCAAACAAAGTTGGAGCTGAACTGGAGCTGAAATTTTGTACAACAGAGCTAAACTAAACAGGAGCACCCCAACCCAGACTTGTGACGTGATATTCAAAGTAAAAATATTACACGACTGGCTGAGAAGCTGGCAGATAGCAGAGGAGAGGAGGAAGTAAGGCAGAGGAGAGAACCAGACTTGCCCTGAGATGCTCGACAGAGAAGAATCTCGGCTCAGAGGTGACATTAAGTTCTGAACTAAGGCAGAGGAGAGAACCAGACTTACCCTACGATGCTTGACAGAGAGGAATCACGAGGCTCAACCTTAACTACGGCAGCTGTGGCTCAATCGCGAGGCTCAGCAGAGAGCTATGGCTCAAAGGGGAGTTGCACAAGGCTCGGTCGAGAACTGTGGCTAAATTGCGATGGATGGAAGAGCTTCTGGGCCTCGACCAATCTTCTAGGGCTCAATTCTAGGGCGCAGAGATGAGTTGCATAAGAGACAAGTTGCGTAGGCTAGAGACGAGTCGCGTAAGAGGGGTAAAGGCTCGCATAACAGGGCAAGGGCTTGTAACAGACAATCGTCGCCATTGACGCAGTAGCGTGAGTAGCGCACCATGACTAACAGCACTTACAGCCCTTGTAGCGAGTGCTATTGCTCGCTACACCAACCTTGCTATGCTATGGCAGTAGCGTAGCGCAGCATGCTATAGCGCTCACCATGGCACCAGCGAGCGCTATAGCGCGCTAGTGGTAACACTAGTCTACCAAAACTTGAAAATGTTGTTTTTGTTATTTTCTGGAAAAACCTAATAATAAATTCCACATGTTCCATAAAGGAATAAAGAAATGAAACAAAAACGTAAACATATTTGTTTGAACTTTAAATGAGCTTGGACGAGATAAAAGGACTATTCTCTGTATTTATATTCATTGATACCACGATGCCAACATGCAATTATGCCTCAGCCTCTAACAACTAATTTGAAATTACACCAACTGGTGTAGGTATTTTCACCATTCCAACTTTACCTAAGCTTTTCAGATTTTGGTTTGATTAGGAAGCTATCAGCAATAATGTGTAAGGTCAAATAATGGGGTAGGCCATATGGTGCCCAAAATGGGACTATCAGGCAGACTATAAAGCCAACCCTTTATAATTCATATGTAAATGTATACATATAAATCTTAATTAAAAAATTATTACAGAAAAAAAGAAAAAGAAAATATACAGTGAATTTTACTGAGAACTCTCATTCAAAACAAATGCCATCATAAAGGAATGAGAAGCAAAGAGCTACCACACGGTGAATGGCGTGCATGCTCAACCAACTAAACAGACCAGCTTTTTCCAATTTTGGTAGGGGAAAAGAATTAAGAACTGAATTTCTCTTCAGCAAACATGTCTTGATTTTCCAACCCACAAAATTTTAAGAACCCAATTTTTCTTTAAACATCATAACTGGTTCATGATTTATTCAATTCATTGGGACCTGCAATGAATGAACAGAATATAACCCTCCACAATGAATATCTTTCTTCCAGCGGCATCCCTTCTAACAGCTAATACTAATGAATTAGTATAGCTAATTCTTTGCTAGGTCCATTCATCCGGTCTAAATGAACAAGGAAAGGAAGTAAATCGTTTTGGCATTTTGTCGAGCAACTAAAAGTCATGAACACAATTAATAAGAGGTTTGTGCTATGGTTGCTGAACGCTAAAAGCTCAGACAGTAAAAGTTAGAAACAAATAAAAATTTTTTGTTATTATTTCAACACCGTAGACAGTTCGAATTTGACAAATCAAGTTGAAGAATATATTGCACAGGCGTGTGCACTATTTCATCAACATAGCAAAAAAAGAAAATAAGGAGAGATAATCAAAATGATTAAAGAGAGTCCACCATAACACCACACCCCGAGACCTTTAGACGAAATAACGGTACCAAACGGAGTGTTAGTCGACGAATGATTCAATTGAGATCGAAAGTCATACCTGGCCACGACAGCGAAGTAGCAATTGGGGCTGTAAAGCGGCGAGGCCTTCAGAGGGCTTCCTTGCGTGTCAAATTCAAACCCTAGGAATCGTTGGAGATGGAGGAGGAAAGAGAAGGCGAAACCGCGAGGAGATACGGTGAACAGACCCATTACTCGGAAGTGTTCCTACACCTCAAGATGGCGTATTAGAATTAATAGTCCCTGTAATTCTTTTTCCATTTCTTTTTAGCCCTCGGACTTTCAATTGCTCACTTTAGACCCTGCAATTTTTTTTAAAGCCTATCTATTTAGGACAATTATTGACGGTGTTAAGTGACGGGACCTGGACCAAATAGAAATAGCTGGAGTGATTACCATTATAATATGTCCTTGTTTTAAATGTCTAAGTTCAAATTTCAACATTTTTGGGATATGAATGAAATAATGTGTCTAATTCCAATGTGTTGAATTTGGTAGACTCATTGCCTACTTAATTTTATTTAAATTTGATGGCTTATATATATGTGTGTATTAAAAATTATTTTAATAAAATATTAAAAATTACATAAATTGTATATTTATTAAATTTATTGTCTGCTTGTACAAATATAATAAATTAAATAACTAAATGGATTTCATCTAAATTCATTTTTCTTAAATTTACTTTATTTAAACTCATTTTTTCATATATTTATTTTTTTTCAAACCCATTTCCCCAAACTTTCTAAATTTAATTAGATTTATGATCAAACAAACCGAAACCTTACATTTAAAATCATTTTTGATAGCAGGTGCCAAAATTTAATTACTTACAAGCTATATAGCATTTTGTCACAAATAAATTGAAAATCAAAGCTAACATTATAACATCCCCAATATTAAGTCTTAATAAATCATTTTTTATATATTTTAAACTAAATTAAATTAAATATTTGTCATTAAAACTATAACGAAATCAAGTCGATTCAAGTCTTTAATATTTGATTTTCAAAGCATATAAATGACAAAAAAATTCAAATAAATGTTATTCAAAAATTAAATGAATGAAAAAAGAGTAAAAGAAAACTTCGACTTTAGGTCATGCTAGTTATTCGTGTTTATGTACGCATGTGTTTTTGCTAGTTATTCGTGTTTATGTACACATGCGTTTTTTTTTTTTTTTCTGAAGATGAAAGAAGACCAAAGTTCAAAAGCAAGCAATAAAGAGCACGGAAAAAAAAAGAAAAAAAAAAAGAACACGACCAACCTCCCAATCTAGCCAGTGATCAAGCCAAACTTCCCTTTCTTCAAGTTATTAAGCCCTTACTGACCACCTCCACATCATTCAAAAAACTCCGCAAAGTAGGAGAGTCTCCTTTTCAAATTCAGCAGTAAAGCATTTAGCTCCCAAATTGTCGACCCATAAACTGTCTCTTTAATTAATTAGCTTCCAACCGGTTTTTGCTAGCAAAAAGGATCAATGTTGGCCGTATTCTTTAGCCCTAGACCCACATTAACTTTGGATTTAAAAATAGTGTTCCATAAAAATGATGAGAGCTTCTTGGCGCTTACATTGGACTTCGATACAATCGTTGACACCATCAAGCCAATGTTTTCGATGGGTGCGTCGTCAGGGACCGATTCTATGCCGGCGCAGTTGCAGCACGAATTCACGGTGAAGGACTGAAGCACGACGGGATCTCCAAGAAACTGTCCTCTGCCTCCTCTGATTCTCTCCATTGAATCAAGGATATCCTCAATTTTCTCCCTCTCGTCGGTGAATCTCTCTGTACCCATTTCTGGAATTCATTCAATTAACTACTCACTATTTTGTTTTTAAGATTATTACTATTCTGCTACTGCATTTTTTTTTTCCAGAGTTCAATAGCATGCCTTTGGACCAGAGAAGAATTTTCGAGGATGGCCAATTAGGGGAAGCTGGATGGAAACTATGTGAAGCTGCCAACGGGGCAAGTTAATGGGCCTTTTTTTATGCGAGAGTTGAATTCTATCAAACAAAGGGCTTGCTTGGACAATGATGGTAACATCGAATGGCTTACAGTGGCAAACCGTAAGTTGAAGGGCTTAAATGGTAAAAAACTCAAAGATGAAAGGGTTCACAAGTGCTTTAAACCCCCCACCTATTCACTGCATTTCCATACACCAAATAAACAAAAAGGGGAAGTTTAACAAGGAGACCAGAAAAAGAAAGGAAAAAGAACACATGAAAACCCGAAAGGCTTGTCACTATGAATTTGGTATGTTAGCAAATAACCTGTCGGTTCTATGACTTGCCCAAGGTACCAGTTCGACCACCCTATAGAGAAACCGAATTGACAAAATACGTCCCCAGCATCAATATTATGCTTCTGTATTACCTCTAAAAGGGACATTGATACAGTACCAGTCATAATGCAGGTATCCCCCAAGAGACTATCACAATTAAACATTTTGGAAGTGGTTGAGAGTCAGGGATCCAACATCCATCTCTGAGCCACAGAATCTATAATCAGAGAAGAGCCATACAAAAGAATTATTATAATGCGGAGATGACTCGGTCAGTTGATTGTAATTTCACAATTGACTTATAAAATAATAAATGTTAAATAATTGAAAATAGGGGAGAGATACAAAAGAATACAGAAAAATATTTCAGTAGTTGGCTGTTCACTTGAAGAGTTACAACTAATCTTGATGTATGAGTCCCTGAAAAACTACGACATCGACCAAAATCGTTAATCCTTGGCCAACCTCATTGTGTTAAAAGCAATCAAGAACTTACCTAGATGCCAAAATTGCACATTTGCACAAATTCCATTTCATAATCAACATACTTGGTCCAAAGATGTTTGTATTGGTTCAAAGCAATATCAAGCCAAGGTTTCATGTTGCCGTTAAAATGGATAACCGCTGCTCTACTAATCTCATCCATGCTTATGCTCGGGTTGTGCCCAAGCCCGAGCACATGCCATGATTTGTCCAATGATTTTGTTGTTGAATAGTAGGTAACAAGCCCAGGTGGGAGCATCCCCGGTTTCCACAAAGTATGGTCCTCATTCTGAATAAAATTTACCGAAAAGAAAGGTCAATGAAAACTTCTCCTACACTTCCTCAAACTAATACAAATTCATAGAAAAATAACTTAATATAAACAAAAGTAATAGTGTACTACCGGAACAAATCAAACACTTACCAAACTCTGCCAATAATGATACTGCTCGGTGCACTTCTCAAGCCTCCAAGCATCAAGGTCAAATATATTCATCCCGAAAGCCCAGGCACAAGACTTAGGACTAAATCTCTCCCTAATCAGAGAATTAGAGAAGTTCAAATACTGAGCGTAACGGTGAAATGACCCAAAGCATGTCTCTACTGCCCCGTTTACCTTCCCACCCATATCGATTTTCCACAAGGCTGTTAAGTCCTTCTGGACTACAACATCATCGTCTAGGAACAGAATTCGGTGCAGCTTTGGATACATCTCTGGCAGGTAGAATCTAAGGTGATTTAACATGGACAAGTATCCGAGGTTGCCGAGTTGCATGTTATTCACATCTTTTGTGGTATTCACGGATTCAAGTTGACGAAGTACAGGTACATACGAGGATATTTAAAAAAGTAAAATCCTCAACAGATTTCAGCTCAATATGGGCACCTCCTTCGAGGGCCGCCTCCTAAACCAAACCTTTATTGCTGCCAGGTTCATCCTATTGGTAACAACATGGAAAACATGTTTCCATGGCTCTTCTGCATTCTTTACCACTGATCTTACCACAACTGATACCGCAATAATATTATCTGAAAACATAGCATAATGATAAAGAGTTGGATCCTCAAACTGAGGCTTAGGTTCATCATCAACGTATTTATCAGGATGTGCAATTCTCTCTTCCATGAGTCGCATCGCAAGGCAATGCAAGCTCTTTGGAGTTGATTTGGCAGCAATTAACTAGCTAAGAGCCCCATTCTTCTTTGCCTTATTGAGTGATTCCTTGACTGCAAAGATTGTATCTTTCAATTTCTGAATCTTCAACTGATTATCATAAGCTTCTTTTGATTCAGATATCATTAGTCTGGCATTCTTTACCTATCCTTAACCTCCTTCTCAACTTCCTAAGTACTTCCTCATCCACAGGACCATCAGACTCTAACAAGGACTCCCGATAAGCAGGCTTGAGTGCTAGATCAGAGAAGCTCTGCGCCAAATCATCAAACTTCCGGAGCTGCCTAGAGATCTCAATCTTAAGCTTCCCTTGCGTGACCCCATAAGCATTTACAAGAGCAACATGATCATTTGCCTGCTTGTAAATTAAATCTAACCTAGTCTTCAATGGATCTGAATTCAATGCCAGAAATGTCCTGTGCACATAAGCATTTCCAGTTGTAGGAGTCACCTATTCACACATCAAACCATCGACAGTCAGCTTCTATTTCGATAACAAATTCTCATAAAGTCAATTTATATTTCATTCACGTTTCTACTTTCTTTTCATTCTCAATAGCAGAAACACGAAAGTGATAGAAAATTGGAGCCAAAATTGGTCACTTCATATTGCTTAATAACTGAATACAAGCTCTCTGAATCCGAAGATCATAATTATTAATTTACAAATCTAATATGTTTTTCCTGTACTCCTTTTTTAAGTGGTGGTAATAAAAGATACTATCCAAAAAAAGTGAGTGGAAACTAAGCAAATCAAGTAAAAAAACATATGAGTACATCAAATTGGTCCCGATCGACGCAGTAGCTATACAAATCAAATTATCACTCCGTTAATTAAAGATTTAAAGAAAGAATAGAGGAACCTACCGAATCCTGATTTGAGGAAGGTGAGAGGTGAAGAGGACCGAGAGAGTGACGAGAAAGAGGAGAGTGAAAATGGCGGAGGCGAAGATCGGTGAGAGAACAAGTTGCGCGGGCCGCCGCCAGCGATGCCGTTCCTCGGCCGCCACGTACTGCAACCGCCATTGGATTTGTACCAGATGAACCGTCCGATTATCAACTTTACTTTACTCTGTTCAATTCTCTTAACGAATTTTCGTCAAAGATGGACGAGCTTAGAGACTGAGAGTAATGCTCAAGTGTGACAAAATGTCAAGAGCTTGCAGCGAGATCTGATAATGCAAGCATACCGAAGAGAGAGAGAGAGAGAGAGAGAGACGGAGAGGACCGAGTCACCACGGATTCATGAACGTCCCCCGCGTCGGTGTTGAATTTTTTATATATTTTTTTTAATAAATCGCTGTGGAGATCGGCCGGCGGCGATTCTACTGTTACGAAATTAAAAAATATATATATTCAAGAAGAAAAGGGAGCATGTGAAGCATGTTTGGATTTATTTTTGAAAATTATTTTATTTTTAAAAAGGCAAGTCATTTAATAAGCCATTTTCAAAAACTATTTTAGGAAAATTGTTAGAAATATATTCCTTTTTTAAAAGAATAACTGAAATTTGTTTTAATTTTTAATATTTTTATTTCAAAGACACAAAAGAAAACTAAAGCAATAAACATAGACCAGATTTTAAATCTAAGCAAGACTTATACTTAAGTGTTTAGAAATTAAAAGGAGGACACAGATTGGGGCAACTTATATGAATATTAATATTATTTTACCAAAATAAATTGTTACAGAATTACTTATTAAAATAGATAAACGTTGTTATTTTGAAAAAAAAAATTCTGTAACTTATTTTAGTAAAAAAAATTATTAATATTCATATAAATTTGCCTATAATTCACTTCACCCACCTTGATAAGAATGAAATAAATGCATTCATTTTCAGAAAACAAAATATACAGCAATTAATGCAAGTCTCTTTCGCATGTTAAATAAAAGCTTTATTTTTTTATTTTTTTATCTTACAAAGAATTTTGGATTATACCCATTATTTATCTACCTCTTCAAAGAGAGGGAAAAAAAAAAGATTCAAGGTAAAGTTTACGCGCGCTCATACCAAATAAACTATATGTTAAAATAAGATAATTAATGTCATAATTAGCATTTCACATGAATAATAAATAATATTTAAATAAATTTTAAGATAAAAAACTCTTACCTACTTTCAAATTTGTTTAAATTATACTTAGTTCCATTCTTACTTTAAACATACACTTTCCTCCTTTGATTTAAATTGAAATAAT